ATACACTGGTCCACATATTACCCTCCATATTTTGTTCTCAAAAGTTCTGAGTTTTCTTTCCGTATTGCTTGTTGTAGTCAATGCCTCGCACTCATTTAAAAGTGTGGGTCTTATTACAGCCTTGCTTTAGTTTATTTTGGAACTTTAATACTTTTGACTTTAAGAACTTCTTTAGAGCGAAAGCTGTTCTTTCTGCTTTTATTAACCTAACTCCTATTCCCCTAGGCTTGATATGAAAGATTTGTACTGTTTTATCGCCCTAAAAAAATGTCTAGCCTTACCCTGCGAGTGACTTTTCTATGCATCTTTTAATATCTCATTGAGATACTTTCTCTTCTCTCTCTTAATGATTCGTTTGCAGTTTTTGCTCTCTAAGATATAAAGCTMTCTTGTGTCTAAACTGTCTACACTGATGGACTTTTCTCGGACTATCTGTCATCTCTCTACTGCTTGTCAGCATTATTCGTTATACCGTTTTTTTTGTAAAAATTGTATTTTTCCTACATGTTCTATTGCAATTTGTTAAACTGCTTTGCTAACTTTTACCCAGAGTCTCCATCCATGTCATTTAGTTTTACATTTTTTACATACTCTCTCACATGTTTAGTGTATATTTACTATATTTTCTATTGCACTTTATGGTCCTTCAGCATCTCTAGGTTAATTTTTGTACTATTCCTATTCACTAGCCTCATGTGACTCTGGATCTTTAACATAMACTTTGCTACCACTAAGAAATGGCCTGAGTCGCTCCTTTGAAATTAGGTATGTCTTTAATCCATGAYTGAAATCTTTTTTGAATAACTATATGATCTATTTGGTTGCAAGTTGTCCTGTCAGGTAATTTCCAAGTGGTCTTATGTATATTTTTGTGTGGAAATGTTGTGTTATACTTATTATYATATTTTTTACGGCTGCGAAAGATATAAGTCTAAGTCCATTTCCATTACTTGTTTCACGTAAACTTTCTCTCCCTATCATTGGCATAAAATGTGTTTCTCTTCCACACTTGGCATTCAGGTCAACTAATACCAGTGTTTGATTATATTTCCTGGCAGTTTATCATATATTTGCGACAGATCTTCATAGAAAATATCCTTTGTATTATCTTCCCCCGTTTCCGTTGGTGCGTGTACGCATACTAATATTATATTCAATGGTTTCGTGTCTACTCATAGTAAGGTTATCCTTTAATAAGATTTAATTATTTTACGTATGTTTCCAGAGTCTCATGCACAGCAAAGTCACATCCTAAGGAGTGTCTTTCTTCCCTGCCAGAGAAATACACTATGTACTTCCCTATTTTTAGCTGACATTTTCCTAKCCATCTTATCTCTTATTATCTATATTCCATACGTTTCTAATACATCAGTAAGATTTTGACAGGTTACAGTTCTATAAAGGCTTAGTGTGTTCCGGGTCCCGATCTTAAGTCAAGTTTTCCGAATTCCGTGTCCAGTATTAATTCCATTTATCTGTGTCCGAAGGTGATTCCGTGATGGTCTCACAACAAGTGTTTTTTTAAAAAGCAGAATCGTTAGCCATGCGCCCAACCCTCAACCTTGAGGACCAGTCACAACAACCATTTCGAAGTGATGGCTATAACAATGCATCATTGATGCACTGGGTGATGGGGACGCCACTTTCCCAACGTCTAACCACACATTTTTCTGAATATATAATATCTAGTTATACGTTTAGTTAAATGAATCCTGACACACATTTAAAACAAATTATCATAAAATAACTTAATATGAAAATACATGAAGTATTAATAATTATAGATCAGATAAAATTCAAGTAAATTTAAATTATATAATATATATATTTATATGTATTATGTATACTGATTTTAGATTGATATTATTCTGGAATAATGTATTTTTACTGTATTCATGATTATAAATGTAATAGTTTGACTATTACGATTAAATATATCCAGCGACCAGCATATACCCATAAAGTTCATGTAGATAATAGGTATGTAAAATGTTTAATTGTTTAATTTATGATTTCAGTCAATCATTGAAGAGGAATTTACAGAATCTGAAATTAAACTTATAAATGAAACTAGAAATACAACTACAGAAATTCTAAATGATTTAAAAGCAGATACCACATACCAAATTGGAGTTATGGTTATAGCAAGTGATGGAAATTTCAATCGTGAAGATATAGTTTACAATCAATATAAGACATCGTGTATCCGTAAGTAT